GACAGAGAGGGGAACACAAAAATGACTCAGCTAACCTGTTGTCCTCCATCCATATTTTCAGTTCCAGGCTGAGTCATTTCTACCTTCTCCTCTCTGTCAACGCTCTCTGGTTTCATTTAAAAGAGTCGATCATCAGATATTGTCCAAGATTAACCTTCAGGGTGGATATAGCTCACTCACAACGAGGACCTATCCACGTCGTCATTTACCCAGAATGCTTTGTGTGTAAATAAAATGGCCCCGTCTATTTTACAGTTAAAATAAATGTTTATCAAATAAAGTCTAATGTTACAACTAATCATGGATCCCTTTAAACAATAACAGCATTACTCTGATTCATGTCTTCTGCCTACAGATTAGTTTTTGCTATAAAAAGAAATCTATAAATTGCTCAAAACTCAAATAAATCCAGTCATGGACACTAATTGGCTTTCATACATAGATGAGGAGGGGTTTCAAACTATCAGAGGTGTTGATTTCATTGCTTCGGGTCAACCGGATCCAACAAATTGAGCTCAAAGTTTCCCATCAAATAATCAGAAGTGAGCTGCTTGGCAGCCAGAGGGGAGGAGGTGGAGGAAACAGGGTGAATAAAGAGAGAATAAGGTGGGCTTTCTCTGCCCCCCTTCAACACAGTGGTTTCTCTGTCCTCCAAAGCAGAACCAGAGCCATTTATTTTTATGATATTTAAACAAACAAATAACAAAAATAAATCAATAAGAAACCTCGAAACCCAACCAAAGTGTGTTTAGGAGCCCCTATGCTCTGTCAGCGACACATAGACCACCAGTTTTTCCCGGTCAATATTTGAGGAGCTAATTTGGAGAGTTTGTCCTCTCCTTTGGAGGAAAAAAACGAGGGATTTAGTGAATCTAGTGTTTTTCCTGTCGACCCTGTGTTCGCATAATGTGGCTTCCATCAGATCGGTCAGATTGGACTTGTTCCCGTTCACCTCTGAGTCAGTACTGCAGCTTTGATTAGAGGCTTATCACACCGCTCACTCTCTGCATCACACTGAGCTGCCGGCTCTGTTCAGTGATTTATTACCTTTAAACTGTCTGATTCACATCACATGACATCTTAAAATAAAAAGACTCACAGCTGTCAAAACTAAAATGATCTAATTTAGCTTTGTATGTGAACATGCAGTGTATTGAGCAAAACAAAAAAACTACAATAAAAATGTTGAGCACAAACAGCAACGTCGTAGCTTCAAGTTACATTCAGTAAGACAATCTCAGAAGCCTAAAATTAACAAAAGACTAGCAACAAACAGCAAAAGACTAGCTAGCTAAAAGTAGCAAAACACAGTAATTAAAATAAAGTCAGTTTGTTGAAGCAGATTTCATAAAAACTAATTCCAGGAGTTGAAGCGATCTTCAGGTACTTCTGTAAAGTAATACTTGTGGAATATGTGACATATTTTTGAAAAGCATTAAAGTTACAGAAAAAAAGTCGGTTCTCATCTCCTGGATGAGCACATGAGATTGATTGGAATTAAATGAAAGTTTGTTTGGCCAGTGCCATATTAAATTTTGCTTCTCCTAATTTCCATAAGCACTGAAGAGCTACTTTAAATGAGCTCACGAGCTACTGGTTGGAGGCATTATAGTATGCTAGAAAGCTCCAAAAGTTTGATTTTGCCCCCCCTCCCCCCAAAAAATTGTGTTTACCAGTAATATCAGTATTTTGTTGTCAAAACTGCAGCAAAACAGATGAGTTTAATAAATGTTTGCACTGCATTTCTAATTAAAAAACCCAGATTTCCATTCCTTTTGTTCCATTCTGCTGCTTTCAGACTCTTCCTTTTCTGTGGTCTGAATCCTTGGATTCTCTGGGCTTCGATGCTGACCTTCAGCAGCTGTACACCACTGCCATTGCTCACAGGAAACGCAAACTGTCAGAGGAGCGCTCAGTTCAGGAGGAGCAACCTGCTGCTGAGTCATCAGCAGGTCAGTTCATTTTAATTCATTTTCAATTTTTCTACTACACCTTAAAGTTAGCAACTAATTTGACTTTGTTCATTGGTCTTCATTGTTCATTTATTATTGCCTCTTTTTTGTTTTCTTCTATATATTGTTACTTTTTTTAATCATTTTTTGGCTAAACATGGATATAAGATGTACACACAGCTACAACACAAGCGGCTGAAATGAGCTTCCTTCATAGGGTGGCCAGGCTCAACCGGCGGGGAGGGGGGTCTCAGAGTAGAGCCGCTACTTCAATCAGTTGAGGTGGTTCATCCATCTGCTTAGGATCCCTCCTGGATGCCTCCCTTTAGAGGTGTTCTGGGCACGTCCCACTGGCTGCAGGCCCCGAGGAAGACCCAGGGCTCACTGGAAGGATTATGCATCCTCTCTGGCCTGGGAATGCCTCTGGCTTCCCTTATGGTTCGTTCACACCGAACGCGTTTTGAGCTGCAGGAGCAGGTAGTTTACATGCAAAGTCTATGCTGGACGCGCCTCTAGGGGTCTTGCGGCGCATCAGGTCCGTTAAGCGCGGCGCACAAGGAACGCAGAAGGTGCGGCAGAGCTTTTTCCGTGCATGCGGTGCAGCGAAAGCAGCCGACGCCTGAAATCAAAAATCTGATCTTTCGCCGCTCGACGCATCTTGACAACCAATCAGAGAGACTCGTTTTTCCACATGACAGTTTCCTGAATATTGCCCACTAAACCGAAACAGATGGACAGGAGCTCTTTAGCTGAAATGGACCGTCTGCAGTTGGTGTTCTGGCTGGAGATATCAGCACCGATGCGGGTCAGCAGCTCGTTAAACTGACCGCTGTGTTAAACTGGGCTCGGGACAAAAAATAGTCCATCAGCTCGCAGCTCCTGGAGTGGTGAAACTAACCGAACAAACCACCTCTATTATCTGGTGAATTAATTATCTGCTGTGCACAATGTTCGCTTTGTCTTTAGTAAATAAAGCAAAGCCATTTTATTTATTTTATCTTTATTTCATCCGCCAACACAGACCGGAAAAAACCAAGATGCTCCTCCCTCTTCAGACACGTGTCTAGTCTCTGTCCCAGTCTGAACATAGAGCGTCCAACTCAGTGGCGGCTGGTGAATTTTTCTCCAGGGGGGGCTACGAATCCAAAATAGGCTCATCTCCAAAAGCAATCAAACACGTACTAATTTGTATCACGGCAGTGTATTTATTAAACAAATTAAAATAATAAAACAGCGTTGCTATGTCGTGTAGTGTTTTATTTTCTGCACATAAATTTTGCTCTTCTGTTACTGAGAATCAAATTTCTTCATGACTCTGGTTAAATTCAGGAATGTTTTGCAAGATTCATCTCTATAGAGCATGGTCAGTGCAGTGAGATGTGATGTTGTACCTGAGGAAAGTCTGGATTGGCTTCAGTGTTGAGAAGCTCCTCTCAGATTCAGCTGTGGTCAGAGGAGATGTGATGAGAACCTTCAGCAGAGTCACAGTCTCTGAAGGTGTCCTGCAGATTGTTCTCCATGAAGGGCTGGTACAGAGACACATCACCACTGTAGCTCCTGAACTGGGTGAGCCTTCATGGTCTTCAGAGCTGCTTCAGAAAACGGTCTGTGATCCTGCAGGAACCTGTCAGCCTGCAGCACTGTAGCTCTGATCAGATGCTTTGTGAATTTCTCAAGATGATATCACAATCCTAAAACAGTAAATACACAAATTTAATTCATTGTGGAGATGGCTACAAGTGAACTTTCTAATATATAATTAATATATAGAGAACAATTAATGTTATTTAAATTAACACCAAATTGTTGTACCTCTAAGGTTAATTATTACATTATACGTTTATTTTAAAAATGTATTCATTTTATTAAAAAAATCAAAATAAACTATGCACAACAGAAGAAAAAATAAATAAAATGAAAGGCAGCAGAAAGAAGAAAATGTCTTCTAACATCTGCTCCTTCTCAAGAAGAAATTCAAACAATAGTAATTTACAAAATAATAAAACTAAACAAAAACTTAAAAAATATCTTTATATTGTATTAAGTTGTGTTCACCATTATTTATATTATATCCTGCTCAAAAATAAAGGTAACATCAACACAATCTAACTACACCATGTTCCTGCTCAATTTTTTATTATTTCCAGCTTATTCAGTCCAAACTACATCACTTAAGTTTCTCCTCATATGTTCTGCTTTGAAAAGGTTTAGATATAAGAGATTTATGGTGTTGTTTTCTCCTTCACTTCTCATTTGTTTTTCTCCAAAATCCGCCTCGTATTGATTGCCCTGCAGGCTGCAGCCTCGCGATGTTGAGTCGTCGACACCGGGTGGACCCACCCACTACTGTGTGTGTGTGTGTGTGTTCGGAGGTCAGCCTGTGTTCGCAGGTCAACTGCGAACACAAGGCGTCCTATTCTTTTGCGTTGGGGACTTACTGCGCATGTCCAAAATCTTATAATGACTTTTCTATGGGACTCTGGAGCACCGAACCGGCAGTGACCTGGAAGTGACTCAACATGAAAAAAACTCATGAGTAAAATGGGAGTTTACACATCAATAACTCTAAATTATTTATTTTTTGCTGCTCAAAACGAGTTCAGTGTGAACGTACCATTAGGGTAAGCTGGAAAGCGTTGCTGGGGAGAGGGATGTCTGGGTTTCACTCCTGGACCTGTTGCCTCTGACCCAGCTTTGGATAAGTGGCAGAAGAGATAGATAATTACTTTAAAGAGTAATCTGTCTAAATTGTGTCTCCAAGGTACTATTTCTGTGCTAATGTTGACTAGGGATGTAAGAAAATATCGATACACTGAAATATTGCGATATTTCATTTCCCGATACTGTATCGATATTCTAAAGCCCTGTATTGATTTTTTTATTAAGGTTTAAGATGTCAACTTTCCTGCCAGCCGTTCATTTTCATGTTGTAGTTCAGCCTCTGACCACTAGTTGGCAGCAGTGAGCCAGCCATTTGGCTCCTCTACCTCTCGAGTGCCAGAGACTAAGAGAGCATTAGCATTGTGCGTAAACATTAGCTTCATGCTCCGATAGCTGAATCTGAGCGGAAAAGACCGACACCCTCTGCCTTCTAAGCTGATATAAGGTTACAAACAGTTACTTATTTGTCAGAATGTCTGTAATTTAAGACAAATTAAGTGTCTTGTGCGCTCTTTTTTCCAACTGTAGGCAGCTTTCACGTTATGTATATAGCGCATGCGTCTATCACCTCGAGTGAGCTCGGCACTCCCCCCGTGACATAAAACTCTGTCTGTTGCTCTCAATGTCCGGCTGATCACATCAAAGTCAGTTTACTTTATCCTGCTGTGTTCGCTTCAAAAACGGTTTAACTCGTTTAGCTTCTCAGTTTCTTAACTGGTTTTCTTCGGGACCTGCCCTGCTGTTCGACCCTGCCCTGCTGTTCGACCCACAGTTATACAAATCACGTTCTGGATGCAGGTCAACTGATCCCAGAAACTCTGTGTGCAGCAGCTTCATATCATCTGTTTACTGAACTTTATGACAACATAAAG